TGGATAAAGCCGCCATAGAAACAAGTGCATAGGAAAGAATGCATCGAATTATATAAGACTGACCGACAGTGTTGTAATCCATATTCAGCTGGTTACCTTTCTCTGGGTCAAGGCGAATGGCCTCGTAATACTGCAGCTACGATGCACAAGGGATATTTCTACCTGACGCGGGCACAAGTCCCTTGATCGATGATTGTTGGATTGGGGTTCCATTGACCCCAACTACAAAAGTTGAAGAATAATCGTTCACATTCTGTCAAATCACTGTGGAAGTTCGAAGTGGAAAATCTTGGAGAGTTTAACAATGTGTTGTTTTCGATTTTGTTATCAATTATTTTGTGAAGTATTGGAGATTCTTCGATAGCTTTGTTCTATGGAAAAGGATGCACCAAATTGTTCTGCGACATTTCAATCAAATAAAATTATGTATTTGGATCGGATATTCTTTATTTGAGATTTTTTTATTCATTTCAACAGTTTTTCGGAATGAATAAATCGGGAGTTAGTAAATTCATATCACAGTTCAGTAATTTTTTTTTACTGAAATTAATTAATTCATCTAACTAATGAATTAATACCTAATTAATTATTTTTCAACTAATTAATTAATTAATTTATTAATTCATCAGCTAATTATTTCGTTTTTAACTGATGAAATCTTTATTTTGATGAAGGAAACATCGGTTCGTATTTAACAAATGATTATTCATTTGATGTGAATTAAAACGTAAATAAAAATTGAGTTAATTTATCCATTTTGTTCTATGGAAAAGGATGCACCAAATTGTTCTGCGACATTTCAATCAAATAAAATTATGTATTTGGATCGGATATTCTTTATTTGAGATTTTTTTATTCATTTCAACAGTTTTTCGGAATGAATAAATCGGGAGTTAGTAAATTCATATCACAGTTCAGTAATTTTTTTTTACTGAAATTAATTAATTCATCTAACTAATGAATTAATACCTAATTAATTATTTTTCAACTAATTAATTAATTAATTTATTAATTCATCAGCTAATTATTTCGTTTTTAACTGATGAAATCTTTATTTTGATGAAGGAAACATCGGTTCGTATTTAACAAATGATTATTCATTTGATGTGAATTAAAACGTAAATAAAAATTGAGTTAATTTATCCATTTTGTTCTATGGAAAAGGATGCACCAAATTGTTCTGCGACATTTCAATCAAATAAAATTATGTATTTGGATCGGATATTCTTTATTTGAGATTTTTTTATTCATTTCAACAGTTTTTCGGAATGAATAAATCGGGAGTTAGTAAATTCATATCACAGTTCAGTAATTTTTTTTTACTGAAATTAATTAATTCATCTAACTAATGAATTAATACCTAATTAATTATTTTTCAACTAATTAATTAATTAATTTATTAATTCATCAGCTAATTATTTCGTTTTTAACTGATGAAATCTTTATTTTGATGAAGGAAACATCGGTTCGTATTTAACAAATGATTATTCATTTGAAGTGAATTAAAACGTAAATAAAAATTGAGTTAATTTATCCATTTTGTAGCACGAGTGGTATTTTTCGAATGGCGATCGAAATTATCCAAAAATATGAAAACTCAGGCGACTATGCAAAATTCAATGTAAAAGAATATTCAATTTTCACAATGAATTTTGCAATATCCATGTTTAACATGAAAAACTCTATTTCATAAATTTTTAGGATGAATAAATAATAATAAAATTCGCGGACGGATTAGCTTGATAGAAAATTCAAACTGACATTTGAATTTCAAAAAATTTCCTACGGTGAAAAAAAATTTGTTCAGGATTTGTAGAATTTTTAAATCTAAACCAGTCCTCGAGTTTTCGGATATCCATTGGAAATTGCCGATAAATAGGACAGTCCTCGTCATGGAGCACTGAATATTCATGTTAAGCAGTTTAGAATACACTGAATTTTGATGTTATTTCATAACTCTATCGATCGATTTAATGAGCCCATACGAAAAAAGCCGTATTAATTATAATTCCATTAGAAATTTGATCAGTTTCCTGCCGATTTCACAGTTTAATTGAAATTTATTGAACAGTAGAAAATCCATAAATCCTCATTTTTCGATGTTAATTATTCGGTTGGGATTATTGTAAAGAAATTTCTCAGCATAAATTTTCCAAGTTATCTCTGCACCCTTTGTCGTTTCTCATTGGAAGAAAAAAACTTCAAAAATTTATGCCGAGGAATTTCTACAAAAAAATTTCATCAGAGTGAGTTTTATAGGGAAATTATAATCTGATCTGATCTTGATCTTTTCCCGTTGAATTTTGAACAGTGATACATGACAATTTCCGGTAACTTTCTTCTCTTCTCACCGTTCCCCAAAATTTGAACGGAAATCACAGATGTAGATAATGGTCCGAGTAAAGAGGTCACGAGGTGAGTTTGGAGAGAATAATAGAGAAGCCAATGATTTGACTTGATTTTTTAAGGAAGAAAACTACTGCTTCGCCTCTACCTCAACCCATATCCAGCACTGTGTAAACGCTCGCATGAGTATGCATAGCGCAAACTCCAATATACGGAAAACTCGGCGCGAGATCATTCGTGTACCCATCTTCACAAACTCGTTAACGTCTTGGTGCGGGACTCCATTCATTCAATACCGTTTTACACATTTACACGAACAATGTTCATTTCATTTCAGAGTTATGAATTGTACTGGCATATTTTTTTCTTCGTGACCGATATAAGAACGTCGTGACGTCACGTATGAAAAAATTTAATAGAAAAACTTACCCAATTCGCTAGAAAATTCTTTAGGAATTCTCTACAAATTCTTTTGAGATTCGATTAAAATTCTAGGGAATTCTCGTTAAAATTCTATTTGGTTTTTTAAAAAATTTCCAGAGAAAATTTCAAACTGAAAAATCGAAATCTATTGACTTTTTCCTATCAAATATCTAATTGAATGTGCATAAAAAACAAATAGAATAGAATTTCAATGAGAATTAGAAGTAGAAATAGAATGTGATTTTTGTCGGAATAGAATTATTTTTTTGAATAGAATTTTGTAGCGCATTCGCTAAGGTTTTCTATTGAATTTTTTCATACGTGATGTTTTGACACCGCGGTTCCAATGTACTTACACGTAGGGAATAGCTCATTGAAACGCAATAAACTTTATTTGAATGAGATAAATCCCTGCGGAAATCATCTTAACCGCTTTCATTCGTTTTATTTAGCAATTATACTCTTAATTTTTTTAATTTACAATTTCATTCACATACAATAATTTTCGTATTCTTTGCTGTTTAAAAATTATTCCTGAAATTTCAAGTGAAAAATCTAAAAAATTTTAACAATCGCTCGTTCACACGAAATTTTCATGTGTTTTGTTATTGAAAAATCAATCGAATTCTGGAGTATTCAATGGAATTGCAATTTTCAGGTCCAGATAATGGAAAAAATTATTAAATAATTGAAAAATTTAATTGAACATTCATCTGATGTTCAATTTCCGCAATGAATTTGAAAATTATAGATGCCATTGAAATATCAGTGATAATCTAAGACGGAAAACTCAATTATTCTGACTTCCCAACCTGAATAAGAGATTCCATGAGCGATTTGATCTTAAATTGAATTCAGATTCCCAATATTGAGAATTCAAGTGCAACTATTACTTAATTTTAAAAAATTGCTAACAGCGTTCTAACAGTCAGTCAAATTATTCTGTGAAAATGAGAAAAATGAAACATGAGTGATATCTAATAATCACGTCCAATAAAAAAACGTGAACTCATGCTTATTGGAACAAAGATGTTTGAATCACATAAAATAAATAATCTATTCATTCAATAAATGATTTATTTGATTTAATTAACGGATTGTAACATGTATGATAGTCTTTAAGTTGATCAAGGGAACATCTGTCAATGTTTATAAAACTATTACTCATTTGATGTGCATTAAAACACAAACAGAAATTGTTTTTAAGTTAGAGGAAAAGTTTAATTAACAGCTATTTGAATCAACCCATTGATTGGGTTCAAATCATGTTGATTTAATTTTTTAATTTGAAAAAATAGAGGTAATATTTGACTAATTTTAGAGTGCCGAATAGCAATCGAAATTATTATAAAATATAAAAATTTAGTAGCGAAGCAGTAAAACAGTTTTCAATGCATAACTCGAAATCTAAAGATGATCGGAAAATTTTTGTTACGACCTTTTTTGTAGCTCTCAATTCGCTCTACAAAGAAGGTTATTACAAAAATTTGGTTATCTCTTCAAGATTCAGAGATACTCCTCGAAAATTCAACTACTGAATTCAGGCCACTGTACTGAATTAAATTCAAACTACTGTTCAATTTTCACACTGCATTTGAGAAATAAAATTCAGATTCTTAAATTCAAGAACTTTTCCGACAGTTCAACAAAATTTTTTTGTAAATCATGAAATTTCCGTCCCATTTCTCCCAAAACTCTTCAAACTCTCATCAAAACTTGAAATCTCCCACTATTATTTATAAAAAATGTGAATCCACCCAAATGATGATAACTTCCGAGCCTAAAAAACAGGTAATCAAGGATGCATCACCCCGAACCCCCCTAAATTCCACAATTCCCCGATGAATCCCCTCACCCTGACCCAAATACTCGTCCTAATCTAACGCCAGTGAGAAAAAAAACCCGAAGACCACAAGAAGTGGAAGGAGGCGCTGGGCGACGCCCAATGAGCGTCGCTTAGCACTGGTTTGTCTAAAAAATTATCGACGAAAGTTTTAGCTGAGATGCGTATGTGTGACGAAGAGAATACGCTGAGTATACATGGGTGGAGATGAGAAGAAGTCGTTAGGTTTGGCTATGGGGTGGGAGACGCCCAGGTACGAGTATAAAGATTCATGCTTGGGAGGGCCAAGTCACACTCAACTCCGAAAATTTTCCGGACACAGTCGGTTCCAGTGCTACAGTCGCTCGAGTGATTATTCCTCTGTGAGAAGAATTAAATCGTAATCAACATGAATAAATTCGTGATACTCGGACTTTTCGTTGCTTCGGCAATGGCAGTTCCCATGCCGGATAATACCGGTAACGTTGACTGTTTGGAGATGGAGGATTCCCTCTTCAGTTGTCTCGCTGTCAAGGCCAATAACGCCCTGTCAAGGGCCGCCAGGTCTAGCGATATTCAGCTGATTTCGGGAATAACATTCGTCCGTGACACCCCAAGTAAGTATTCCAATAAACTCTATCATCGACCCGGAAACAATAGTCTCCTGTGCCCAGATAAATGAATTTTCCCAAAGTACTACCGCTAATTCACGGCTTCGTTTCTCCCAGTGGAACGCTCGGGAAAATCCCTGAAGACCGAGATCGAAGTTCTGAACGAACTTCCCCGCGACGCCTCCGATAGAACCATGAAATTGTTCTCCATGCTGTACGACTCAGCCGTGTCCTTCCTCAAGAGCCACAGTCTCAAGATCAACATGCCAGAGGAGTCCGTCTCCCGTGCCCTCACCGAAGGTAAGATGCAATTTTAATAACTCATTCATCCTTCATCCTTCGATTCAATAAAATTACGTAATTGTTGCGCGATTGCCCCTGCTCGCTGCAGCGCAGCTCTGAAAGACGCGGATTGACGTGATTCCGTGACTTTCACTGACCAACTCGTCGTTAACTCGTTCTCAAACGTGATGTTTTCTTTTTTACTTCGAGATTCCTCTTGTTCCGATAGATTCTTCACTTTCTCGTTTTAAAATTAATTTTCCTGTATTCTACGACTTTTTATTTCTTTGATAATACTTTAACTGTGCTCTGAAGTTTTAATACTTCTGTGATAATGATTTTAGACATTTTCCCAAGTCGTTGCAAGACCAACTCCTTGTTAACTCGTTCTTAAACGCGATGGTTTCTTTCTTATTTCGAGATTCCTCCTGTTGCGATAGATTCCTCCTCACTTTCTTGTTTCAAAACCAATTTTCCTGTGTTCTAGGACTTTATTTCTTTGATAATACTTTAACTATACTTTCTGAAGGTTTAGTACTTCTGTGATAATGATTTTAGACATTTTCCTAAGTCTTGGCAAGATTAACTCGTTAACTCGTTCTCAAACGCGATGGTTTCTTTTTCATTCCGGGATTCTTCCTGTTGCGATAGATTTCTCTTCACTTTCTCATTTCAAAATCAATTTTCGTCTGTTCTATGACTTTTTACTTCTTTGATAATGATTCAATTGTACTCTGAAGTTTTAATACTTCTGCGATAATGATTTCAGTCATTTTCTCAGGTCGTGGCAAGATCAACTCGTTAACTCGTTCTCAAATGCGATGGTTTCTTTTTCATTTCGGGATTCTTCCCGTTCCGATAAACTCCTCTTCACTTTCTCATTTCAAAATCAATTTTCCTCTGTTCTATGCCTTTTTATTTCTTTGATAATGCTTTCACTGTGCTCTGAAGTTTTAATACTTCTGTGATAATGATTTTAGTCATTTTCCCAGGTCGTGGCAAGATCAAGAAGGTCGTCCTCCCCCTGATCGCCGCAGCAGGCCTCAAAATCCTGGCCCTCGTCCCAATCCTCTTCGGTGGACTCGGTCTCCTCGTCCTCAAGGCCCTCGTCGTCGGCAAAATTGCCCTCCTCATCGCTGGCATCCTCGCCTTCCAGAAGCTCTTCGGTAGCGGTGCCAGTGGCGCCAGCGGTTTCGGTGCATCAAACTTCTTCAAGAACCTTCAGCCATCTTCATCCTACTACGACAACAACGCTGGCACCCAGGGGTGGGCCTCTGGTAATGGCCAACAGCAGCAGCAGGGATACTACAAGAGGAGTTTCGACGACGGAAAAACCGCCCAGAACCTCGCTTACTCCGCTCACGTCCCCACTGAGACCGACTAAATTCATTTTTATGCACTCGTAAAAACGATATTCAGACAGATTCAGGGAGAGCGATTGCGTGAGGAGAAAAGATCTTATGGTGTAACTCTGTATTCCGAGGGCCACCTTCACGACTGCTAGCATTAGTATTTATGAGTATATTTATTTATACTAAAAATTGTGCGGATTTCTCTATGTAATTAAATTATTGCCATCATAATAAATTATTTCTTACAAAATATCGAGGAATTCTTACTGAAAAATATCCCTGACATTCCATCATCAACTCATTCATCATCAGAACAGTTTCAGATTGTATGAATAAGATATTTGATTTTAATAGAATTATCGATACCCAATTCCATTAATCAAATCAGAAATTTCCATTGGAATGAAGGCGATCGTATTCGGTTCATCTGTCCCACTCACAAAAAACAAAAATACTAATTGGCCTTACTGTGATTTCCCTGAAACAAGTTTCTACTCCTAGTAAAAATTGATGGAAATTCTGCGACATTGAGCCAAAGGGCCTATTCCTATAACATTCCATGTCGCGCGCCAACTCACGCCGCGATGTTTTCGCGCCATGAAATTCCTATTAAGGTCACTGAGACTCAGCCATATGTTCACCTCCACATAAAAAGGGCCCACTTTGTCGCCTCTAGTTTCCGAGATATTCACGTTTTTGTCTCTGTAACTCTCATTTAAACCAATGTTAAATTATTTATTTAATCTTCTTCATTTTGGTCTTAAAATGGGCGGAATGTTATCAATATTCTCAGAGTATACATAATCCCAAATAGTCAAAGTGAGCCCTTCCCATCTGGGCGTACATATATAAGCTCACCAGGACGCGAGCCCTACAAGAGTAGTTTCGATGACGGAAAACCCGCCCAGAACCTCGCTTACTCCGCTCACGTCCCCACTGAGACCGACTAAATTCATTTTTATGCACTCGTAAAAACGATATTCAGACAGATTCAGGGAGAGCGATTGCGTGAGGAGAAAAGATCTTATGGTGTAACTCTGTATTCCGAGGGCCACCTTCACGACTGCTAGTATTAGTATTTATGAGTATATTTATTTATACTAAAAATTGTGCGGATTTCTCTATGTAATTAAATTATTGCCATCATAATAAATTATTTCTTACAAAATATCGAGGAATTCTTACTGAAAAATATCCCTGACATTCCATCATCAACTCATTCATCATCAGAACAGTTTCAGATTGTATGAATAAGATATTTGATTTTAATAGAATTATCGATACCCAATTCCATTAATCAAATCAGAAATTTCCATTGGAATGAAGGCGATCGTATTCGGTTCATCTGTCCCACTCACAAAAAACAAAAATACTAATTGGCCTTACTGTGATTTCCCTGAAACAAGTTTCTACTCCTAGTAAAAATTGATGGAAATTCTGCGACATTGAGCCAAAGGGCCTATTCCTATAACATTCCATGTCGCGCGCCAACTCACGCCGCGATGTTTTCGCGCCATGAAATTCCTATTAAGGTCACTGAGACTCAGCCATATGTTCACCTCCACATAAAAAGGGCCCACTTTGTCGCCTCTAGTTTCCGAGATATTCACGTTTTTGTCTCTGTAACTCTCATTTAAACCAATGTTAAATTATTTATTTAATCTTCTTCATTTTGGTCTTAAAATGGGCGGAATGTTATCAATATTCTCAGAGTATACATAATCCCAAATAGTCAAAGTGAGCCCTTCCCATCTGGGCGTACATATATAAGCTCACCAGGACGCGAGCCCTACAAGAGTAGTTTCGATGACGGAAAACCCGCCCAGAACCTCGCTTACTCCGCTCACGTCCCCACTGAGACCGACTAAATTCATTTTTATGCACTCGTAAAAACGATATTCAGACAGATTCAGGGAGAGCGATTGCGTGAGGAGAAAAGATCTTATGGTGTAACTCTGTATTCCGAGGGCCACCTTCACGACTGCTAGTATTAGTATTTATGAGTATATTTATTTATACTAAAAATTGTGCGGATTTCTCTATGTAATTAAATTATTGCCATCATAATAAATTATTTCTTACAAAATATCGAGGAATTCTTACTGAAAAATATCCCTGACATTCCATCATCAACTCATTCATCATCAGAACAGTTTCAGATTGTATGAATAAGATATTTGATTTTAATAGAATTATCGATACCCAATTCCATTAATCAAATCAGAAATTTCCATTGGAATGAAGGCGATCGTATTCGGTTCATCTGTCCCACTCACAAAAAACAAAAATACTAATTGGCCTTACTGTGATTTCCCTGAAACAAGTTTCTACTCCTAGTAAAAATTGATGGAAATTCTGCGACATTGAGCCAAAGGGCCTATTCCTATAACATTCCATGTCGCGCGCCAACTCACGCCGCGATGTTTTCGCGCCATGAAATTCCTATTAAGGTCACTGAGACTCAGCCATATGTTCACCTCCACATAAAAAGGGCCCACTTTGTCGCCTCTAGTTTCCGAGATATTCACGTTTTTGTCTCTGTAACTCTCATTTAAACCAATGTTAAATTATTTATTTAATCTTCTTCATTTTGGTCTTAAAATGGGCGGAATGTTATCAATATTCTCAGAGTATACATAATCCCAAATAGTCAAAGTGAGCCCTTCCCATCTGGGCGTACATATATAAGCTCACCAGGACGCGAGCCCTACAAGAGTAGTTTCGATGACGGAAAACCCGCCCAGAACCTCGCTTACTCCGCTCACGTCCCCACTGAGACCGACTAAATTCATTTTTATGCACTCGTAAAAACGATATTCAGACAGATTCAGGGAGAGCGATTGCGTGAGGAGAAAAGATCTTATGGTGTAACTCTGTATTCCGAGGGCCACCTTCACGACTGCTAGTATTAGTATTTATGAGTATATTTATTTATACTAAAAATTGTGCGGATTTCTCTATGTAATTAAATTATTGCCATCATAATAAATTATTTCTTACAAAATATCGAGGAATTCTTACTGAAAAATATCCCTGACATTCCATCATCAACTCATTCATCATCAGAACAGTTTCAGATTGTATGAATAAGATATTTGATTTTAATAGAATTATCGATACCCAATTCCATTAATCAAATCAGAAATTTCCATTGGAATGAAGGCGATCGTATTCGGTTCATCTGTCCCACTCACAAAAAACAAAAATACTAATTGGCCTTACTGTGATTTCCCTGAAACAAGTTTCTACTCCTAGTAAAAATTGATGGAAATTCTGCGACATTGAGCCAAAGGGCCTATTCCTATAACATTCCATGTCGCGCGCCAACTCACGCCGCGATGTTTTCGCGCCATGAAATTCCTATTAAGGTCACTGAGACTCAGCCATATGTTCACCTCCACATAAAAAGGGCCCACTTTGTCGCCTCTAGTTTCCGAGATATTCACGTTTTTGTCTCTGTAACTCTCATTTAAACCAATGTTAAATTATTTATTTAATCTTCTTCATTTTGGTCTTAAAATGGGCGGAATGTTATCAATATTCTCAGAGTATACATAATCCCAAATAGTCAAAGTGAGCCCTTCCCATCTGGGCGTACATATATAAGCTCACCAGGACGCGAGCCCTACAAGAGTAGTTTCGATGACGGAAAACCCGCCCAGAACCTCGCTTACTCCGCTCACGTCCCCACTGAGACCGACTAAATTCATTTTTATGCACTCGTAAAAACGATATTCAGACAGATTCAGGGAGAGCGATTGCGTGAGGAGAAAAGATCTTATGGTGTAACTCTGTATTCCGAGGGCCACCTTCACGACTGCTAGTATTAGTATTTATGAGTATATTTATTTATACTAAAAATTGTGCGGATTTCTCTATGTAATTAAATTATTGCCATCATAATAAATTATTTCTTACAAAATATCGAGGAATTCTTACTGAAAAATATCCCTGACATTCCATCATCAACTCATTCATCATCAGAACAGTTTCAGATTGTATGAATAAGATATTTGATTTTAATAGAATTATCGATACCCAATTCCATTAATCAAATCAGAAATTTCCATTGGAATGAAGGCGATCGTATTCGGTTCATCTGTCCCACTCACAAAAAACAAAAATACTAATTGGCCTTACTGTGATTTCCCTGAAACAAGTTTCTACTCCTAGTAAAAATTGATGGAAATTCTGCGACATTGAGCCAAAGGGCCTATTCCTATAACATTCCATGTCGCGCGCCAACTCACGCCGCGATGTTTTCGCGCCATGAAATTCCTATTAAGGTCACTGAGACTCAGCCATATGTTCACCTCCACATAAAAAGGGCCCACTTTGTCGCCTCTAGTTTCCGAGATATTCACGTTTTTGTCTCTGTAACTCTCATTTAAACCAATGTTAAATTATTTATTTAATCTTCTTCATTTTGGTCTTAAAATGGGCGGAATGTTATCAATATTCTCAGAGTATACATAATCCCAAATAGTCAAAGTGGGCCCTTCCCATCTGGGCGTACATATATAAGCTCACCAGGACGCGAGCCCTACAAGAGTAGTTTCGATGACGGAAAACCCGCCCAGGACCTCGCTTACTCCGCTCACGTATCCACTGAGATTGAAAAATAGTATATTTCGTCATTAGGCCGAAAAAAAATTTTCTGGTGAATATGAGGTTTGCAGCACGAGCCGAAGGCGAGGGCTGCAATCATATTCGTCAGAAAAGTTTTATTTGGCCGTATGACGAACAATATTTTCTGTCATGACGGCCGTAGGCAGCATTTCACGGACGCGGAGCTCGCCTTCGGCACGTGCTGCAAACTTCATATTCGCCAGAAAAGTTTTTTTCGGCCTAATGACCAAATATACTATTTCGTCACTAGACCCGATAAAAAATCGCGGTTTTCGGGCCCAATGACAAAAAATATTGTTCGATAGACTGACGCGAAGAACTTTTCTACCCCATACGATGACAGAGCTCTCGTTTGACTCGTCCTGTAACCTCATATTCGCCAGAAAAGTTCCTCACGGCCTAATGTTGAAATGTACTATTTACGCACTCGTAAAAACGATATTCACATTCAGGGAGAGCGATTTCATGAGGATAAAAGATCTTATGGTGTAACTCTGTATTCCGAGGGCCACTTCACGACTGCTACCACAAGCATCTATGAGTGTATTCATTCATACTAAAAATTGTGCGGATTTTTCTACGCAATTTAATTATTGCCATCAAAATGATTTATTTGTTGAAAAATATGAAGGAATTTTTACACCATGAACTCATTCATCATCAGACCAGTTTGAGATTTGTCAAGATAAGATATTTGAATTTCATTAATCAAATCATAAATTTCCATCTGAATGAAGCAGATCGTATCCGATTCATCCCTCCCACTCACAGAAATCAAAAATCCTAATTGGCCTTGTACCGTGATTTCCCTGATACAAGTTTCACAATGAGACTCAGCCGAATAAGCTCACCAGGACGAGATTCGGGGCACGGGTTTAGCATGCCATACTGTGTCACGACAGACATGGAAAACTAATTCTCACCTGAAAGCCAATACCGCCATTTCCAGATGTATTGTCAACACGAAAGAGAAAAAAAGCTACGATGTGTGTATATCAATGCGCATTGTCGCCAGGTAAAAAAGACACACCTGTTTTAATACTGTACACGAGACAGAAAATGGAACATGAATTTGTCTCTATGCACTGAACAATCGTTTCTCCGGTATTCATTCTGACACGTGACTATGGAACACGAAGAGACTGACGACCCGGTTGAATTTAACAAAAGATTATCCCAGTGGACGGGCAATTTTTTCAGCACGAGGGGACGTCAATTCGTCTGTTGAATGCATCAAGTCGAAAGACGGAAATTCCTGAGACATCAGATTTGATCCAGTGAAAGGGGTGCAGGTGAGGCGTGGCTGTTGCATTGGCTGCGAGCAAACGTCCCGAGCTCGTTGACTCCGTCGAAGGGTTGAAAGTGATCGCCAATAAAAGGAAAACTAATTCTCCAGTTCTGTTCTCGTTTTTTAAACACGAAAAGAAGAATGTCACGCACACGGAGATGCCCCCCGCATTGTAATGCATCGCCATCGGTCTGAATGAAGAATTGTAATTCCTGACGTGGGCAACATGTTCTTTTGCCAAATGGTTCACCTGGGCCAACCCCACCATGCAAAGTCGCGGTTGATATAAAAGTGAAAAATTAACAGGGACGAAAACAGTCGAAAAGTTATTTCGTCGAGGGGAAGATTGACGAGAGGAGGTAGACGTGCATTTGTCGTTGACATTAGGATGATAAAAATTGTGATACTGTTGTGCCTGGCGGCACTTGTCAGCTGTAATCCAGCTGTCAAGCATGACAGGGGCGAGGACGTGGAGAGGATGATGATGAGGAAGATGGAGGAGCTGAAGAGGACTCACAGTCTGAGAATTTATGGAGATATCGTCACTTTGGAGAAGCTGGAGGACAGTGGGGAGCCGAGGGCCATGCCGGGAGAGGATCCTCTGGTGGCCAGCATTGATCAGTTTCTCAACTCGAGGAAGATTCGAATCAGCCTCCCCAGTGACGGATCCCCAGCGGATTTTCTAGGGAGAGCGCTCGGGCAGAAAGAAATTGATATTGAACTTAGGGGATTGACGTATGGGGCTTCTGAAGGTGAGTGAAACTTTTTAGAAAGAGTTCCAGTTTAGTCTGAGGAACTGATGGGGTAATTATTGGGAGAGTTGATTATACGAGTGCATTGCGCTTCGCTGTAGTTGAAATAATTGTTTTCTGGGAAGTTTGGAGGTTTCGTGTTGATAAGCAGTTTCTTTGATTGTTTTATTGTAATTTAGAATAGAACAAGTGGATGAGGATGGGAAATTGTTAGAATACGTGTGAAAAAGTTTAATAGGAAAAACTAGCGAATTCGCTACAGAAGTGTATGGGATTTCTATTGAATTCAGTATTACTTTTTAGCCGAGTCTATTGAAATGTTCAGCTGAAAATATTCTACAGAAGAGTGAATACAATTCGATTTTTCTACATAACTTGAAATTTCGGCGTTTTTTTGTTTGATTTTCTTGATAAAAAGAAACGAAGAATAGAGTGAAAAAAATTGAGCCGAGAAAATTCTATAGAAAATCCAATAGAATTGTCTGGCGTACTCGCTAGGTTTTTCTGTAAAAATTTTTTCCTGCGTGTAGTTGTGGTTGTAAATTGAGGTTTCGAGTTCTTAAAAATTGATGGAGTGATTAAAAGTAATGAATGTTCTGATAAAGGATGTCTCGTGTATTAGAAGCTCCAGAAAATAAAGAAAGTGGTTCTATGTTTCTTACTATTTTAAGTTGGTCGCGCAAAAGTTACGAACGCCATTGTCGCGCTGTAAACGTCACGCCGCACCACCGTAAATTGATATAATGATAAATTTGAAAGCTCTAGGAAAAATCTCAAGTCCCGTGAGATTTTTTATTTTCAGTCTTACCCTTAATTAGAAATTGAAGCTCAATGTTGCCATGTTTTTCTGGAAATTCGTCTTAAACACGAAACACGGCCCAGAGTTTCCAAATAAACATTTGAAAATTTACCTACTTATCATATTTTTGGCGAATATTTTCATTGATAGGGCTTCTAGACACTTCAAAATGAAATGTCAAATTTCTTCAAATTTTTCTGGGGCTTTACTGCAGTGTAATTTGAAAAATCGGAAGATGAAATCATCATTAATTTGTTAACAATATGCAAATCGCGTAGGGAGATAAATTTTATATAATAGTCTCACTTTCTTTTACGCAGAAAGATTGTTTTGAAAATAAATTTCGCATCTCCACTGCTAATAATTGTTGGCTGAATTTCACGGTATAAATCTTCAAAATTATCAATGATTATTATTTCCAATAAAGCTTTAGGAAATTTCGTTATTGAAATATCACAATTTGATGGGGAAACAATTGAAATGCGTAAAAATGAGAAAAATCTAAGTTGATACATTTCTAAATTTCAAATCAACTGAAAATTAATTGAACATTCAAACACGTTGTGAAATTTCCGCCTCATTTTTAACTGAAACTATTTGGTTTCACTTGAATTTTAATTGAAACTTTCAATTTTGAAATACTTTCCCCTTAAATCGAAATCAATGAACTTTTCTGAGAATTTTTACTCGATTGTTCATGAAGTTTCAATTTTTTTAATGATTTAAAATTTAAATGTAAAGATAAGTGACTTTTGATCAATTTTTTAGTGAACTATGAAATGAATTGAAACTTTCAACTCTAATATCTAATTGAAAATTATTAAAGAGCAAACTTTCCACTCAAAGTTTGGGAAATTTCGTTATTAAAACATCACAATTTGATGGGGAAAAAATTGAAATGCGTAAAAAGGAGAAAAATCTAACTATACACATTTCTCAATTTCAAATCAACTGAAAATTCAGCTTATTTTGGTACTATTCAATTCATGTTTAATTGGAAATTCAATCGCGTTCTGAAATTTCCGTTTCATCTTTATCTGAAACTATTTGATTTCACTTGAATTCTAGCTGAAACTCGGAATTTTGTAAGACTTTTCCCCTTAATTTAAATTCAACGGAACTCTTCTGAGAATCTTTACTCCATTATTCATGAAATTTCAATTCTTCTAAAACATTTCAAAGTTAAATGTAAAAATGAGTGACTTTTGATCAATTTACTACTGAACTATGAAATGAAGTTAACAACTCTGTTCCATTTTTTGAGGGAAAATAAATGTTCGTGAGTACCAATGACATTCATGTCGAAGAAAAGTAATCCTTCTTAAATTCCAAAACGATTTGAAATGACAACATAGAGCCATATGAGATACACAAACTCTATAAATTCTATTCACTCAGTGGATTTCTCCAAATTAAAGTATTCATAATAAAATAGTCATTCAACCAAAAAAGAATGACATAGAAATTTCAATAGTTTCGCAATCAACGTCAAGAAGTTTGGATAGACATTAGTGGAAAAAGCTGAAAACTCCAGAGTTCTAAATAAAAAATGATCATACGCCAGAACAGCAAACTGTCTGACTTCGCCGCGTGCAATGATCCAGCCAGAGTTGAGGCAAATTTTATAGCACCGAGTCTCACCAGCCGGCCACCAATGAGCACCAAGTGGGTCGTTGACTCCATCCTCACATTGGTGAGGAAGTCGGTCAACCGGTTGTAGCCACAGTCCCTCTCCCCATCGCGTCCGCGTCTCTAAAAATCCGGTGAACTGAGAAAATTTGCATACTCTCAAAAAATCAAAATGATAGCCCAGCCGCTGATAATAGCTTTTCACCGACTAAAACCTCTAACGCAATTCCCTATTGTCCCTTCAATCCCGTAAAATTTCACTGGCAAATAAAATACCAATTGATTTCTGGATTCACGGAGTGTGTCACATGCTCGCGGCTCTTCCACCAGGTGAAGGGAGGAATTGGGACATGTTAAATGTCGTGGGATTGACAGAGATAGCCGGAACATTCTGGGTTTGTGGGACGCTAGTCCCGAGGAGAACAACAAAAAATTATAGCCGAAGGGGGGATTGGTCACCTTGAACGAGAGTGTCAGGTCGACGGAAGAAAGTAGGCTCTAGAACGTGTGGCCCATAAATACTCCTTTTTGTGTCAATCACTGCATATAAATCACCTAAAATTAATCCCCCCAAAAACGAAACAAATAATTCTAAATTCCTCCGACTCCTCAATTAAATTCCAACTTCCACTGACCCCGAAAACATGTTTTCCAGCGAGGACCAAGCTGAAGAGGATGATCGTGCCGATCCTGCTGGCCTTGAAGCTGAAGGCCCTAATAATCCTCCCAATTGTGATCACAGTAATCGGTCTGATCGGTCTTAAGGGACTCGGGGCGGGCCTAGCAGCCTTGTTCTTATCAGGAGCCGTGGCCCTCAAGGCCATTCTGACGCCGCCACCGCCGTACCCCGCGGCGCGGGTGAGCTACGGCATTGTGAAACCCGAGATCCACCACGACCATTGGCACAGATCGCAGGAGGAGGTCAACCAGCCCTACCGAGGCTGGTCCCCCGAGTTCAACGAGGCCCCCTATCCCTACCAAGATTTGCCCTAAACCACTGCCAAAATCCTTAAATTATAACCCCTATTTATTGTTTATTTATTACCAATTTCTACGAATAAATATTGTTGTTTGAGTACACGTGTCAGACCCCTGGAATTATTGAGAAGAAAGTCGATATTTTTTGTCTCCTTTTTTGGAATTTTTTTTCTCGAGGTTCAAAGATCCTCATTCCTGACTCCCCTGGAAGGGGCCGCTGACCTGAATACTCTCTACTCGACACACGAGCGGGAACGGCGGAGCGGGGAGGGGGAGTCGGCAGAGCGGTGGGGATTGAGGAGAATGTGGAGAGAAACTGGGTCACCGGGACAACAGAGGGGGATAGCCTCGACACTGCCATTGGCCTTCCTTTCAGTAGCCTCGAGCGCTCTTTCTCTCCCCACTGTTTCTCTTTTTCTCTTCAATGCCATGAAGGTCAGTGTGTCATTGCCTCGGCTACGTGCGATCCCCTCCACTCTCGGCCGACAATTACTTACGCCACTTGGCTCGAAGGCCAAGGTGGGGAACCTCATGTAACGGCATGGTTTGTGAATTCCACGCTGATCCGCACGCTCTCGTGGTAGGGGGAATTGTCTCTCTTGCGGATATATAGGGAACAAATGCGGAAGCTGACGCCACTCACTCGGAGGCCTTGCTGGAGAATATTGAACTCTCACTTCGTGTTTGTTCAGATTCATTCATATGTCGATGCAATTTTTGCAATGGCTACTGGAATTTTTCACTGCACTTGAGTCTCTATGAACTTTACTATCATTTTTCGTTCTTGTTATTAATGCTTCTGATTAATCACTAATGCTGAATTATCGGTGATTGCTTGATTATGGTAATTAAAGTATATCCCAAGACAATCGGATCGAAAAGTTAGTCCCTATGGATTTCCGGAAAAAATTCTAAATAAGTTCATTTATTGCATTCTCATTAGTTATTGGGTTTTTCTATACTCATGTGTTGTTGATGATAATAATCGGATAAAATTTTTGATCTCCAATTCTCAAATTCTGTCGTTTGTTCTATTCATTCTATTGAAAAATAAGAAAAGAAATAGAATTTTAAAGTATTCTTCTATTATTAGAAAAAATGTATGGATTTTAAAACTTTCCGAAAACGGTGAAAAATTAATTTTTTTAGTTCTTGCCGCTCACTGTTTTTTGCATTTGTTTGAAGAAACAAAGTGATTCGAAGTTCCTGCCAACGTAAAAGAAGAAAAAAATCCATTTCCTAGCAGATTATCCCTTCATGATTCTTTTTTCATTTCCTTTTCATAACGTGCACTGAATTTTGCCATTAGCATGGATTTTGTGGACATTGCGATAAATATGGAAAATATAATTCATCACTTTTGTATGGTTACTTCAATTTGCACTGTACTTGTGTCTAAACTGAACTTGGTTGTTCTTTTGTTCTTATTATGAAAGTTTCAGATCAATAGTTAGTGCAAAAATATAAGTGATTGCTCAATTGTTGTGAATGAAATTTGAATGTTACCGCTAGTATGCATTTTGAGGGGACAAAGATAAAGTAACAGACGTAGTTATTGTTTTTCTTCAATATCTCTTCATTTTATATCTTCAAATTTGCTGATATGGACAAAAATATTCAAAATCAGGTGCAAAGATAATTATAAAAAACTGGATTATCTTTCAAATAATTTTTGAAAAGACATATTGTAAATTCCGCCATAGTGCACCTTCTATCATAGTGTTTCGAAAAAGATAATCTCTCTTATTCAAAAAACGTAATTTTAATAAATTGAAACAATGGGATGAGGAGCAGAATAAATTATGAGTGTCACTCAAATCAGATGTACAACCAAAACAAATTATCTCTTTATTTATACTTTTTTGCACGTTCCTGTATTATAATTTAAACATTGAGAAAATTCTTCTTCAACTTCAGTTACCCTAAAAATTACTGAGGACCGCTGGGGCCATTTTTTGAACATCAAAATCATGAAAAACCTTGTAACGAATTTTAGATGTAAACATTACCAGAATCTGAAATTACCCTCCAGTGTCCATATAAATACAGTCGACATTGGAATGGTTCTACGACCTCACCGAGATACTTCGGATACTGGATGTGTCCACCTGTTATAAGACCGAGGAAGTACTTTGATAGACTCTCACGGAATTATTTAATATCCTGTCATGGATAGCAAGGATAGGGTACTCATTGGCTCCGAACGTTCACTATATGGAACTAGTTAAGGAATACTTAATACCTCATCATGATATGAACGACAGGGATGCTCAGACGAGCATGAAGTTTAGTTTAGGTTCTCGGTCCATCAATTCTGTACTGAGATGGGTACTTGTTCTTGGCCCAGTATTAGCAAACTTATTCCATCTCCAAGAGGTACGTATACGTATGCGAGAAACTCAATCAAGTCTAATCTATTTCATTTCACAATACTCGATCCAATGCAATGTACGCCCTGAAAAATAAACGATACTTCGTTACGAAGCGTGAGAGCACGTACAAAGAAATGTAATAGAAAGATCTACACTCAGAAGATTGTTTTATTTGAATCAAACTAACTTTATGTTAATTAAATTAACGTTGCTCCAACAGTTTCTTCCATTTTGCAAGGATGAGCTGCATCGTCAAACTTATGGTTAGAAAAAACAATTCAATAGATGAGTTAATCAAATAGTTCGTGATAAAGTATTGTTGTATTTAATTAAGTAACAATCCAGGATCAATCGAAGGGGCGTATTTATTGACAGTTCCTCAGAATCAATCATGGAACAAAGATGAATTACACATGAAGTTATTCCCTAATATTAGAGAATGACAATCAACTTTCTTTCATTTCACAAAAGAAGGGAAGAGGATAGACTAAACCATTGGCGTCCGTAATACTATTACTTTAAACTTAAGCGTCTACAGGTACACTGAAGTTACTCGTCACCCCGTCGCATTTTTTCTTGATTGTCATTATGTTCATCACGATACTGTGTAATTATATTCAGATGGTTCTTGGTACTATTGGCCCCATTCCATTGAGAAATCCACATTGTTTACTCCTCAATCTGAGGCATGGGATCTGTACGTGAAAACACTATTCGCTTTTTTCGCGTAAGTTCAATGGAATAAAAACTGCAAATCTTTTTAGAAATAGAATTTTTCGACTTTTCGACACATTTTCTAGAGCTTGAATACATTTTTCATTGAATTGAACTGCACAAATTTCAATCCTACGTGTATATCTGTTCAAGAGAGGACATCATAAAGATGTAACACTTCGCTGTTGCATTTCTAATGCAAAGTGAATGTAGTAAGGGGATGGGGTGATAAACCACCCCAGTGTATTCGTAGGAGTGCCCAAGAGGTGTAAGAGGCCCGCAGAGGGTTGAATAAATAGCTTTATGAATGTAAACAATCAAATTAACTTAAGTCGACTTATCTCCTAGTTGAGTTTTTGAGGAATATTTCCAAATCTAAGGGAGATAGCGAAATTTTTATGAATACATTTGTTGTAGCTCTCAATCGGCTCTACAAAACAGGTTATAACAAAAATTTTGCTATCTCCCTTAGATTCCGAGATATTCATTGAAAACTGGTCAATAGTCAAAACTAACTTATACCGTTTTACCACTTCGCTACTGAAATTTACTCTTGATCCGAATAAAAACTGTATGAATTAGGAATAAAGTTATTATGTAGATTGAGACGATAACAAATTTATCAACATGTAATAATCCTTATTTATATGCGATGCAACGTTTAATCTTAATCGAGGATCTATTTGAAATCAATGGTTTTTTTTCTAATTGAAACATTTTAATCGAAATGAATACGTGAATTTATTCGTTTTCAACAAAAAGTGTTGCAGTAAACAGAAAAATTATACAGTTTTATTTGATTTGAGTACATAATGTCCTTAAGTGTAGCTCATCCACTAGAAAATTCTATCGAAAATTATATTCATGTTTTGCCAGTTCTATTGAAATTTCTCAATCTTTTCAACCGCATTTTTTTCTCATTAAAAAATTCGGACAAAAAATTTCATAAAATTTCAGCCGAAAAATTTCTATAGAATCATTGTCAATTGAGTAAGTTGTAAGATCTCAATCTATTGGTTATTAACCATTTCTCTTAATGAAAACCCTTAGAAAAACTAGGCAATTTTCCAATGAAATTGGCCACAAAAATGAATGGAATTCCAGCCAAATTTGTATTGAATCTCTTCGTTCATAAAATAACGACAAAGGAAATGGAAGTGTCCAGCAGTTGTTCTCCTTTCGTCCATCATTAGGGAAAGGACGGTGACGCTAGTGAGGACTACCAAGAGTAAACAATCCCAGGAAAAGGAGCATTGAGTTAACTGTTACAATAGTCCCCTGCAAATGTCTCTCCAACCGCTCGCTCTTCCCTCTCCATTCAACTCGAAATTACCTCCATGAATCTCTCCATTAAAAATTATTTACCATCAGCGGGTATCATTTACGACTCCCCATCGGTGGACGATCCACTCGAATGATCTCTTTACTCTATACTCGATTCCACCAAGTAGACTCACTGGTACTTATCGCATTAGGAGAATCGCATGACGATAATTATAATTCGTCATAAAATTAAGATAAGACGACTGTATAATTCCACGTTCCCGGGACTTTCTTCTCACATACACGCATGATTTCCCATGAATATGTAGCTCCAACGTGAGTTGTATCTCACGTTTGGAGACAAATCTTTTGTCACGTGCTCCAGAGGAATTTCAAATGTATCACAGAAAAGTTTCGTTTCATTTTGAAAGTAGAGCATCCTCCTCGTATAAAATTCGACTCCCATTTCCATCTTTTCAAGAGTAAATTTTTTCCTTTATTGACTTAGCTGTTTGATAGCTCCTCATAATGACGGTTCCAATGGAGAATGGAGAAAATGAAAGTTACAGAGCGAAATGGGATCAGCCGTCTAGATCCCATTTGAACAATAATTTCGTTCTACTTCGAAAATTCATCCGACTCCTGTTGATTTTCGCGAGGCAGTAAAAATATTACTCCAATGAATCAATAATTTCCTAGTAAAAGCCACATCGTTGAGAATTTCAGTGCGAAGCACCAAGAAGACGGAAACCAGAAAATTGCAGGTAGAAAAAAACCCAACACCGATAAAACTGCTGATGCACCAGCATGGGTTTTTGTGAATTTGACTGAGTTTCGTGTTCTCCGCTCTATTTGACGTCCCCTACCCAAACTCAGGAGTGGCTGTTGCACTTGTCGGCTCTTTCAAATGCAAGAGAAAGACAAATGCAGTGTCAGATGCCGGAGTATCTGCAAGAAGAGGAGGCGAGGCATCTGTTCTAACTTCTGTGGAGAATGTATGATCGTTGAAAGGAAACTAAAAAAAAAGAAAAAAGGATCTGGTTGCTCTTGTTCCTATATATACTGCACAGTTCATAGATATGCTCAGTGCGCAACAACGCCTCAGCTTGTCGTCGTCCGTGAAAATATTAGCAGTTTGGGTGGGACGATTCGAGTAATAGCTAACAAATCTTCGACGTGATTCGCGATTTCAATCGATCATCGAAAAAAGATGATGGACCGTATAACAATTCGTTCACCCCTGTTGGTGGTGATCGCCTCTTTCTTGATTATGGCATGTGTTAATGGTGAAATCGAGCAGCGAGCGTCGAGGCAGTCGATCGAAGAACCTCCGCAGACCCTTGAGGAAACCATGAACAAGGACTGCAGCAAGTCCTACAGTGCCACGTGCCTCAAGCTGGACGTTGTGTCCTTCGTTGATAAACTTTCCGAGCAAAAGGACATCGGAATACTTCCCGGGGTGTCTGTCGTCCAGGAGAACACCTCCGAGAACGTGTCTTCTTCGGACATAGTTGCCAACCTGGCGAGGGAGTTCCCTAATGATGTTGACAGACGACTGGATGCATATCTGTTGCACAAGATCGGGACCTACTTGAATAGTCACTCTATCTCTATCAAACTGTTCGACCCGAAGACGTTTGAGGCTGCCAGGAGCTTCAATGAGGAGACTCTTTCGCAGTTTGGGTTTTCCGCGGGGTCTAATGTTGAGACTGGTAAGCATACTCTATTCACGGTCCTTTGGGTTTATGTTAATGGGGGGTTTGATGACGAATACGCCTTCCAGGTCGAGGAAGGAAGAACAAGGGCAACATGGGAGCCCTCGCAGCCGGACTCATGATGATGAAGGGAACTCTAGGTGCTCTAGGATTCGGTGCTCTAGCTATGCTAGCGGGTAAGGCCCTCATGACCGGCCTGATGGCACTCATGCTGTCGGCTATTGTTGGGCTCAAATCGTTGACGAGCGGTGGAGAGAAGAAGACTACTTATGAGATTGTTAGCAAGCCCGTCTACTCGTCCTCCCACACGCACAGCAGTGAGGAGCAACATCACGGTCACGGATATGGACATTCCGGATACGCAAGATCTCTTGATATCGTCGACTCCAATGTCCAAGAGGGCATTCGGAAGTACGGAAATGTGAGGGATCGTCGGGCTGTTTAATCCTGCCAATGATACTTTAGTCTGATGAATTACCTCGAGATCCGAATCAATTTCGTGCTACTTCTCCTTTTTCCTTTTCTTCTTCTTTCATTCGATTTTTCTTCGCATTCTTCCTTTCTCACTCTCCTTTCTCTCTGCACTCTTCCTATTTTCTTATTTATTTATTTCAACTGTCATTCTTCTCTATTTTCTGACTAGGAATTTATGTCTTCAGAATTGGTTCGGATCCACGCAAGAGGTTGCTATGATAGTCTTTAAGATAACATAAGTTCATATTTATGTTGAATTTATTTCCCATTCATGTCAAAGTGCTCTATTTATTCGCATGTACATTATGAATAAATTATATTTTTATAAATCGTAAAACGAACATTTTCCAGATCACAATATCTCTCCCAAACTTTCCACCTGATTGCATGCAATGACGCGTACGGTATGGAATACCGTTGTACCTACACATTCATGAGATAATTATGCACTACCATAAACAGGTATAACAATGCAGTGGCGTTTCTCATTGATCGCTCGGCATTTGTTTACCCACTTTTTCATGTGCATATAGAATTTTGTTATCAATGCAAATGGGTTCAAAGCAAAGCTCAGTAGGTATCGAGGCCAAGAACAACAGTTACTCATCTAACCACCTTCTATCAAAGACGCAGGAGGCACAAAGGCCAAGTAGATGATTTTGCGGTTGCTGATATTATTTACTTAACCATTGATTATCACAGTGTGATGAAACAATACAACTCGGAAATGATGACAATCGTGATGAGATCAAAACAGAAGAGCCTGTCAATTGCTGTGACATGATTTTCAGTGTATATAAAACCATCAGATTTCCAGATACTCGGGAACAGTAGCTGTTTAACTGACTGAGGGACCTCATCCTCGTCATGGTGGTACTCCGGTCATCTACGTGTCCCAAAGTCTGGACCAATTTTGTGATTATCTTAGCGCTTTTTGCATCATCAAGTGGATTTAGATTCTTCAAGCCGTCGAAAAAATCAGTGCAATCGCTGCAAGACTTCGATCCGGATATTGAGCCGTATGAGGACCATGGAAAGCAAGAGAGAAAACTTTTTGATTACTGGAAAAATGGGGTGAGGGTGGATCTTCGAGTGGTGCCAGCGGTGAATGAATCGATCAGTGATGATGACGACCATTTTCCGGCGTTTCCGGCTAAGGATATCGGCCGTTGTATCCTTGACTTCTCGGCTATGTGCATTAGGGACAGGATGGCTCGGTACATCATCACTATGTCGAACCTCGAGAAGATTAATTTATACGGGAAGAGTGTGAAACTTGTCAAAGTCCGATCTTTGCCCGCGGAGAGGTGGGACGAGCGGTCTCTGGATCCTGTGAAGAAGGTTGATCAGAGTATTGATGACTTCTTTGATAGCTTCGCGTTGAGGATTAGTCTGCCTAAGGGCAACAACAAACGGGAGCTTAATCAGATCGAAGTAATGTATGAAGATAGAGGGGCCGTTGAAGGTAGGAGATTTTAATAGTGCCTGATATTTTGGGTGTTTTATGAATAATTATGGTCATCTTTAGGAAGAGGAGGGAAAGGCGGTGGTGGTAAGGGCGGCAAAGGTGGTGGTTGCAAGAAGATGATGATGTGTATGGTCATGGCTGCGAAGATGAAAATGATGGGTAAAAGAAGTTTGACATTGGGTATTGAATCAGGGATGCGAAAGAATGACATGAAATTTCGTAGGATGGATAAAAAAATGACGCGGTAATGTCACGTGACACATTTAGGACTGATTTCCGATTTGACCATCAGATTCTATTTAAAGTAGTGACAATGTAAGTGTCACAATTTCGGATGCCTAAGTTACTGCTGTTGATCCATGATCGTCGGGCATTAAGTCACATTTTTGCGGAGCTGACGAATTTAGAAATCTGACGTAATTTCGCAACTCTGTTTCGACTGTGACATACACGAAACATTTTTATGGAAAATCCTAGCGCAATCGTGAGAAAATTCTATTGGATTTCTATTGAACTTCTATCAAATCTCCATTAGCCTTTCGCCGATTCTATTGAAAAATAGGGCAATTCTTTTCCACGGGTTTTTTTTCGATAGGATATATGCATCGGAAACAATTTTGTGGAACGAATGAGCAGATCCGATCTCTTTATACAACTTATTATACTGAACTGTTTTTTGTAAAAATTCCTGGACATGAATTTCCCACGATTTTTCCACTCCAGTTTTTTCTTCTCCTATAAAAAAAATTAGAAAATTTACGCAGGGAAGTTTCCATCGAATATATTTCACTTGGATAAATTATATAGAAAAATCAGATCTACTGACTTTTTCTATAAAATAAGTTCTGATGAGAAGAATGAGAAGAAAAGCTGCGGAATTTTGTAAAGAATTGATGAACTAATGGCGTTCTCAATAGAAATCCATTTTAAATTCACCAGAATTTTCTGCCGAAGGCGTTAGCTTCTCTCATGAAACTTTTTCGTACGTGGAAATCTTCCGACGAGCCAAATTACATTAAGCAATTAATTTTCCACAGGAATGATTGGATTAATGTCCATGAAGGGGCTCATGATGGCCGGCATATCCATGATGATGACGAAAGCAATGTTGATAATGCAAATAATGAGTAAGAAAGGAGGAGGCGGAGGAGGAGGAGGTGGCGGCGGGTACGGCGGCGGTGGGGGTGGTGGTAAATATTAGTAATTATCCCAGAAACAAATCACTAACTTTGAAAGATTGGCTGTTGACTAATTTTTTGTCATGATCTCCCTCCAAGGACAATTAAAGGAGATCGTGCTTTTGACGAAATCCAGTGGTGGAGGGGGTGGAGGATGTGGCGGAGGAGGAGGCGGCGGTGGATGCGGTGGTGGAGCACCACCACCCCCATCTTCTAGCTATGGAGCACCGCCACCGTCTAGCTACGGAGCACCACCGCCGACTGGCGGTGGAGGAGGAGGGGGAGGGGGCGGCGGCGGATATGATTTTAACTCACAGGGCGGTGGTGGTGGTGGTGGTGGTTGGGGACGTAGCTTCGGCAATGGAATATCTATGACATCAAATGCGAAACAGTTATCGAATCGTCCTTCACAGATCGTTAACACGTCGAGCATCACCAGTCAACCTGAGATTCAGGAAAAGTTTATTGGTCACGATTGGATTACGAATTATCAGCCAGAGAGGGAGCGAATTGGCGAAGTTATGGAGATGGCGGAAAGTACCAAATCCGATTATCAGAATGCAAATCAACGAGTGGATCGAAAGCTGAATTTTGACGGGGACACTAGTAACAATAGAATCACTGAGCCGACAGTCGTTTATGCTAACAATTGGCGGAATTATGAGGCTACTGATAGTATTTGGAATACAGTCGGTCCGATAGTAGCTTCCAGAGTTGTACCGTTGACTAAAAAAACTGAGTGAATTGTAATTGGGTAGCATTAGCCTGTATGAAACATGTATCTTATCCAACCTATTTATTCTAATAATAAATTATTCATGAATTTTATCATAAATTTCCAAGTCATCTGTATTATTTTCTCGCAACCTTTTCACCACACCCTTTGATCGATAATAAACTCCCTAAGTTGTATGACCGATCTGACATTTAAGAAAAGTTATTGGTCACGATTAGATTGCGACTCATCAGCCAGCGAAGGAGCGAATTGGCGAAGTTATGGAGATGGCGGAAAGTAAAAAATCTGATTATCAGAATGAAAATCAACGAGTAGATCGAAAACTGAATTTTGACGGGGACACTAGTGACAATAGAATCACTGAGCCGACAGTGGGTTATGCTAATAATTGGTGGATTTATGATGCTACTCATCGTATTTGGTATACGGTCGGTCCAATAGTAGCTTCCAGAGTTGTACCGTTGACTAAAGAAACTGAGTGAATTGTAATTGGGTAGCATTAGCCTGTATGAAACATATATCTTATCCAACCTATTTATTTTAATAATAAATTATTCATGAATTTTATCATAAATCTCCAAGTCATCTGTATTATTTTCTCGTAACCTCTTCACCAGACCCTTCGATCGATAATACACTCCCCAAGTTTTATGAACGATCTGAGATCCAGGAAAAGTTTATTGGTCATAATTGGATTTGAGTGAATTGTTATTGGGTATCATTAAACTGTATGAAACATATATCTTATCCAACCTATTTATTCTAATAATAAATTATTCACGAATTTTATCATAAATCTCGAAGTCATCTGTATTATTTCCTCGCAACTTCTTCACCAGGTCCTTCGATCGATAATCAACTCCCCAAGTTGTATGAACAATCAATATCATATCGATCGTAGCCTGTTTTACCAACAGCCGCTAATTTACCCAGGTTCGTTAAAGAAGATTGATCTATCTGTAGATCGCGTAGTCTGAGAAACTCTGGGTAAACAATTCAACAAGACAATCATAGAAAAACCAACAAGCGTAAAAACTTCCGCGGAGCAGAATCAACAATCCAGCACGCGGTATGGAATGAATTCGCCGTTTAAATAACAGTTCCAAGTATACGTAAACACCGGGAGTTGAGCCAAATTATCTGTTCCATTTTCTGATTTTTCTTTTTTCGCACTCGCATTTCCTTCTACGGCGTGCTCGACCTACATTTGATGACAATGCATACGCAGGATTGTAAGGTCCGATCAGGGATTCTTAAGGTGCAATAGCGTGAGGTGAAGTAGTCACGCACAAAAAAGTTTTATAGAAAAAGGCAGCGCATTCGCTCACGGAGAAAAAAATTGACGAGAAATTACTGTACAATCTAGGTAATCCGGAGGAAAAAAATGTAGCACTCAAGAAAAAAATATGAGGCTAGAATAAACTTTCCCCTGCGTATTGTAATTTTTCACAAACGAACTGTAACATGTGTAAGCTTTTGCTGAAATAGTAGAAAACAGAAAATTCTATTCAATTTCTATTGAATTTTTTTACAAAATTCGAATAATTTTTCTTATTGTTTCAATGAGAAACTCCCCATATTTTTTACGC